ATCCATTCCAGTTTTCTGCTCAGCGTTCTCCCCAACCCCAGTCTCACTCTCAAAGGACACCCTGCAGGAGGTTTCACAGACCTACACAGTTCTGAGCACCCCTCCCCCAAATGACTCTACCTCCTGCTTTACCACAATGGGACACGAAGCAGCCCTTCTCTGGGTGTCCAGAACCTTCATGCCTCCTGCTTCCCACCAGCTATGAGGCCATTCTGAGGTCCTAGCAGCTACCCCGGTCTACTCACTCTCATTCTCTCTGGCCTCCCTCTCCCAGATGTCCGTCTCACTTTCACCAGGACATCCCAGGCATCATAAGGGTGTCTCTGGCTCTCCTGCTCTCCCTGTCGGTGCAACTAGTCCCTCCTCTGCCCACTGCTACCCAGAAGAGCCCTTTTCAACATCCTTCTGAACTTGTGTAGTCGTCAGCTCACTTCCCATAGGGCCCCCACCAAAGCACGCTGCAATGGGGGAGAACCAAGCCCATCTTATTTGAGGCACATGACGCCTGACACACATTAGGGACTCAACACAAAATGCAGAGTGAAAGGTCTCCTGAGATCCTGTGGATGGGCACACCATCTACAGACTGCTCAAGTGCCGACCCTTCCTCACTTTGGGGATTTATTTAAGTGTTGTCAGAGTCTGGCTCTATATATCTCAATTTCTCCAAGGATTCTCACTGCATCACTCCAGAGAGCCCCAGGCAAACCATCTTCCCTGTCCCAGTGCTTCAACCAGAATGGAAGGTCCCAAAGGAGTGAGGACTCCCCACTGGTGATCTGCTCTTTTATCAACTTTATCTATTCATTCATTCATTCTTTTGAGATAGGCTCTTACATAGTTCAGGCTGGCCTCTAACTTACTATATAGGCAACGATGACCTTGAACTTCTGAACCTCTTTCATCCACTTCCCTAGTGCAGAATTCCAGGTGTGGATCATGGTGCCTGGTTTAAGTGGTTCTGGGGATGAAACCAGGGCCTTGTACATGCTAAGCAAGCATGACACCAATTCAAACACACACACACACACACACACACACACACACACACACACACACCTCAGATCTTTTCTTGAGACAGAATCTCACTAAATTTCTCAGACTGTCCATGACTTTATGATCCCCCTGCCTCAGTGTCAGAGTACTGGAACTGTAGGAATGTGTTCTAACATGTGCTAACAAAGGAAAGCTAATTATGGTCTCCTCGGACAATCCACACTAAACAAAGAGACAGAATAGCTCACTGGCCTTGCATTATAACTGGGAAGGGTAGAGTGATGGGTCCATGGGGCTTTAAGACTCGTGAGTTCAGAGGCTCTGATACCCAGAGGAATCAGAGCTAGGCTAGGTTCTGGGACTATTTTTGTCTGACTTTGGTTATTTCTTCTTTCATAAAATAATAATGGGAACCCTACTTGTGGGGTTACTAAACCACAGTCCTCACCAGACTACAGACTTGGGCAGTATCTGGGCCCATGTGCACACTTAGTAAAAACACCTCCTGATGTGTGTTTTTGTGGCTTGTGGTGGAGTGGGCAGAGAAGGGTGCTCAGCAAATGTTTGTGGAATGAATGGACAGTGTATTCTAGCCAAAGTGGACAGTCTTCCCCACCCACAAGTGTGGGTCACCACCGGGCCAGGGCCACGGCACACACAGGCAGGCATCCCATTGGAGCAGACAGAGCTAACCTAGCTGACAAGTTAGTGTTGCTAAGAAGGGCCCACCTTCCTGAAATGGCAGCTGCTTAGAGCAATCAGAAGAATTATGCTGTTTGAAGGATGTTTAAATGCTGATGCCCCAAGATAAGGAAGCTTATAGTAGCTAGTAATTCTTGAGCACTTAACTATATATGCACCAGGTGTTGATCCATTTATCAAACACAAGTCCCCATGGCAATCTCATGTAGTTGATCCATGAGAACCATACTTCAAACAAGAACACTGTGGACAGAGGAGGAAAGGCTTGCCCTCTGTGGAGAAGGAAAACTGTTCCAGAATGTGGGCTTCAAAGTGCACACTCAAATACCAAATCGATTAGAATTACTAGCATGGCTATCGACCCCCCTGGATGGCAAAGCACTCCAAGGGTCTCATGACAGCAGAGACTCTGGGTAGGTGGGTGGGTGGGTCGGGGGAGCTGTCTGTGCTCTCGGTTAGAGAAAAGGAAATAATTCTTCATCCAAAAACCTCCATTTGTAGCATCCCACTGGGAAAGGCAAAACAAGAGCCACGAATAGGGAGCTGTCAATCTAAGGACTGGAAAAATAGACATATGTTATTTGTATTTATTTGCTTATTTATTCATGTATTTATTTAGAGACTCGGCTTCACTGTGTAGCCTTGTCAACCTCAAACTTAAGGCAGTCCTCCTACCTCAACCCTCTTAAGTGCTGTGATTACAGAGGTGAGTTTCTACTGCTGGATCTTCTAATTTTAAATGTGAAACTTGCCTCAGTCTAGACCAGATCCTTCTCTGCCATTTTCATTCTTAAATGGCTACACATCCTCGCTTTCCTTGTGCTCACCCTACCTCCTCCTATTCTTATTTTTTCAACTGCTGAGTTTATAAAAATGGAATGCTTCCCACAAAGCCAGGCCACAGTCTTTGAGGAACTGGGGCATTTTTCCATGTTGGAATCCTTTGGCATGGATACAGAAAATATGGAATGTACAGCTCCTCTTATTCTTAAGGGGGACATGTTCTAGAACACCCTAGAAGATATTGGAAACCACAGGTACACTGACCCCTGTATGCACTGTTTTTCTACACATACACCCTTAGGCTAAATTTTAAGTTATGAGTATGACACAGTAAGAGATTAGCCAGAAATCAACAAATTATAACCATAGACTGAAATAAAAGTTATTTAAAATTTAGGATTATTTTTCTGGAATTTCCACCTAATATTTTCTGATCTCAGTTGTCAATGGGTAACTGAAGCCACAGTAGCTAAAATGGTGGGAAATAAAGCCTCAAAGAAGTGGGGACAGCTCCATTCTATAAGAGAGGGGATAGTTAACTGGGCATGATGGCCCATGCTTTGAATCCCAGCACCCTGAGGCAAAGGCAGGAGGATCTCTGCCCATTCAAGGCCTACCTGGTCTACTTAGAAAGTTCCAGGGCAGTTAGAGATATACAACAGAGACAGTGTTTCCAAAATAAAATGAGGGAAAAAAGAGGAAAAAAAGAAAAGAGAAAAAATGAGAGTGAGAGAGGAAAGGAGGGAGAGAGAGGGAGGGAGGGAGAGAGGAAGAGAAAGAGTATAATTCAGAGAGAGAGAGAGAGAGAGAGAGAGAGAGAGAGAGAGAGATGGGAAGAGGGAGAGAGACAGTCAGGAAGAGGAGATGACAAGAAAGACAGGGAGCCAGAACACTGTCCCATTTTTTCTTTTTTTTCATTACAAGTTTCCCCATGCCAACCCTACTACTTTCAATAACTAGCCTCCTGTCACCTAGCCCCTAAAACAACAGCAGCTCATTCTACTCTAGTGGCTTTGCCCAAATGCCCCTCCAAAGACCCTTGAAATCCAACAGGTGCTTTTTCACTAAAACAAGAGGTTTCTAACCATGATCTCCACAGAAGAACCTGCAGTAATATTCTGGAAGTGCTGTAGGTGTCTCGGTCACACACATTCCCTCCCAGCAGGATGAATACACACTGAACAACACAAGCAAGGACCTCATGGCTCCAGCCCCAGTGACCACAGTAGTGCACAGTTTCAGCCTGGGGTTTGGCTGGGAGGAGATGAGACCTTCTCCTCCTCCTCTTTCTTCTTCGTGTTATTTGCCAGCTAAATAGGATTGCACCTGGATGAATTTTAAAAGGGACAGTGCATCTGAAAATTTGAGATATCTTATTTGGTCTTAATTCTTGAAACTGAAATCTTTCTGTGTTAAGAACAAGAAATCCTTTAAATTCTATGAAAAATAAAGCAATGTTGTTGTAATTCAGTGAACAAACAGCTTAAACAGATAACTGACGGCAGAGCCTTGCTCTTATTGGGGTGTCCAACATTTTGAGACTGTGGCACGGCATTGTCATCTGTGTCCAGTCATCTTCATAGCTATCTACATAATATTGACATGTGGTCTGTTGGATACAGGTTGGACATGCCTGTGACCTACCTGACCCTTTGATGTGGAGTTAGGCCTGAGTGTTCACTTATTCCAGAAGCATCTATGTGTAGTCTGCCCTGATGCCCAAGCCTATCTGGGCTGAGAACAACCCCGGGGTGAGATAGAGAACCTATGTCTCTTCCAGGCCAGCAGTATCATCAACTCAACTAACCCTATCTCCTGTACCCACCCTGGGAGACTTGGTCACAGGCTTGCATGTTCTTTAAGGAAGTGCCACAGACCTGATGAGTTCCTGCTCATTAGCCATTCAAAGTCATTGTCAAACAAACATCTCCCTCCACAGTTCTCCACACAAGAAACAAACTTCTAAGAACAGGGTTTCAAGGGTTCCGGTGGGGTCACACAGCCAATGTTTCTGGTCAGAGTAAGTTTAACTCTGCAGCAGGAACCCTTCCCCACTATAAGCCTTCTCTTTGGGACAGCACTTTTAAGTACTAGCCCAGGTCTAAGGGAGACAGACGGTGAGTGCCCCAGCTTCTGTAAAATACATGTGATAGTAACAGTAGCGTGGCATCTGAAAAGAAAGTAGCAACTCCACAAGGAGCCACCTTAGACCCTGCTGTCCCATCTGGGCGTAAGCTCACGTTGCTTAATTTGCCTTATAATAGTCGCTTCATTTTGCAAAAGTCCCGGAGAGTCCCTTTAACAGCATTCGGGAGGATTTACTTACCCACTTGGCACTAGACGGAAACTGATGAAATTAAACTTCAGCAAGTCTGCCAGAAAGGATTCAGTTCCACAAACGACCCATTACTGTTACTAATCACCATCATCCTAGCTCACCACTTCGGTCCGATCCCCCCACCCCCACCCTATCCCAGCCGCCCGGGACACCTGATGCGTTGCACGCAGCCAGGGCTCACCTGATCTCCTCCGGGAAGGCGCTGCGGAACCACGCGGAACAAGATGCAGAGGGGTAGTGCGGCGAGCGCTGAGTAACCCCAGATGAAAGCCAGCAGCGCTGCCTGCGCCCGCCGCCCCGGGCCGCTCAAGCCGCGCTGCAGGCGTACGATGCACACCATGCGCTCCAGGCTGACCGCCGCCAGCGTGAGGATCGTGACGCTGCCGCTCATGGTCATCACGTAGAAGAGCAGGTGGCAGACGATGGGGCCCAGCACCCAGGCCTCGGTCCAGCGTACGATGAGCACTAGAGGGATGGCGCTGGTGAAGAGCAAGTCCGCGCAGAAGAGGTTGAGCACCAGGCTGACTGTCACCCCGCGGCGCCGACGGCGCACCACGAGCACCAGGGCACACGCGTTGCCCAGCAGTGACACCACAAAGATGAGCCCCAGCACGATGGTCTCCACAACGCTCAGCACTAGCCGGTGGTCGCCCTTGACATCCGAGAAGAAAGGGAAATGGGTGCGATTGTCTCGTTCCAGGGTGCACGAGGGGCCAGTGCCCGTCCTCTGCACACACTCAAGGGACATGCCGGGCGCCCGGCCGCCCGCTGCAGTCTGCGAGAGCGCTCATCTGCGAGGTAGCTGAGTGCCAAGGCGGGGAGAGAGGGAGGGGAGGCGGTTACGACACCTCCCCTCTGGCCCCCTCCTGCCTGAGTTGCCCAGGCACTGGGCGTAGGAGCGGCGTCCAGGGCGCCCCGGAACGAGGAAGTGCCTGGCAACACTGGCCTGAGCACCGTGGGCAGGGATGTGGTCACCAAGGCAGAGGCCTCAGACTCTTGGGCAGTCTGAGAGTTCTTTAACCGGAAAACTAAAATAATCCCTGTCCCCTCTCCCCAGTACAGCCTTCTTCACCTTTCATGGACACATTATTGGAAGCTCTATCCATCCATCCACCTATTTAGCTAACCTCGATTGAAGAGTGTCGGGAGTTGAACTTTGGAAATCGTGGGGACCTGTGTAGTTCAGAATGCACTATAGCAACTTGTAATGTGGCACGGGATTTGTTTGACTTCAGAGTGAGTTAATCTCTTTGTACACTAGTTTGTTTGTTTGTTTTCATTTGTAAAGCAGGAATTACTTTACCTGAGAAGTTGCTTCCTTAGTAGAGCCATTACCCAGCACTTGGTTTGATATCCAGCGTGGTAATTCAGGGAGGGGGAAGGGAGAAGGGAAGTGGGAGGGGTGGGAAAGAGGTCCAGTGCACAATCAAGCTATAAACGTGCCTCCAGCACCGAGTGTGAGAAGCACAGGGCAGTCTGATACTGTCTCAGCAAGAATGACATGTTCAAGATGGCCTTTGGTGACTCATAAGATCCTGGCCCCTCAGCTTCCTCCTTGCCACCACACCACCTACCACTGCTTTCTAGTTTCCTTCTCTAGAAAAGGAGGTAATTAGAGAATTAAAAGTGTGTTTGGGGCTTGAGATCTAGACGCCACTTCTCCTCTAAGTTCTCCAGTTACCTATGACCTCATGCCCTCTCCCTTTGCCTCACACCCAGGCCTCTCCCTCTGCCCATTCTGCCTGGTGGTTGTCTCTGTGCGTTTATGAAGAACAGCATGTGCCAGTTTGCTGTGGTGTCTGCAAATGCATGCCTTTGTGCCTCTCTCTGCTTGTCACCCACTTGTGAGGACACAATGTGACTTCTAATATGAGGAGCAGATCCCTTGTCAGTAGGAGAGGCTCAGCTTGGGGTTTGACTAGCTTCAAGCTGCAAAGTAGAACTAGCTGGGCTTTGGACACAGTTGTAAAGGGCAAAAGGATTGAAATAAAGGAGCCTCAGAGATGGCATTTTGGGAACAGTCTGATTGGGGTCAAGAGATACCGGTTCTGTGCAGAGAGATGGGGAAGGGGAGAAAGATCAGAGGGGACAACCCAAAGGCACACACACACACACACACACACACACACACACACACACACGTACTCTGCCTTGTAAAAAGGAATCGCCAGATGCACAGTTAATTGTTTGTTCTGAGTTAACTACCCCACCCCATCCCAGATGCCCCTGGAGGAGTTTCAGGTTGATACTAGCAGACACTGCATTCAGCATTTCACCAAGTGCCTGAGCCCAAACAGCCCCAGATTGAGGAAGGAGTGCAAGAGATAACAAGAAAAGCACAGACATCACAGATCTCAAGAATGTGGCTGACTGCCTGACCAGAGGGGCAAAACTGGGCTTTGTGCCCACCCATCCCCACCTCTTCCCGATACAATCTGCTGACCAGAGTTAGAATTTACATGGCACATTTCTAGGATGGTCCTCTGCTGTCTCCTCAGAGGGACAGCTTTAAAAGTTACTATTCCCACCCCTCTTTACTGCAATCTGCAAGTCTACTTAACCAACTAGAGTGATATGTTTGGCCTAGAAGGACTTTACCATCAAAGAACTCTGGAGTTCTGCCAGTGGTGAAGTGATGTGGGCAGGGACTTTCTCCATTTGTATCACCTTTGTGTGCCTCTAGACTAAAAGACCCACTTGATCGTAGACTGCCTGTCCTACTAGTGACAACTTCCTGGAATGGATGTGTCTTTGGAGCCCTGACCAGCTTTTTTCAAAATCAGGCATCAGGTTGGGCACCACCTGTCTCTTTTCTACTCCATAAAGATTTCTGTGCACCGCCTGCTCTTTATCACAGTTAACCCTGAACTTCCTGCTTCCTAAAGATGTTCCATTGTGACTCTAAGGGTGGTAACCTAGAGCGTCCCTGGAGAATAGAACATGTGGAGTAGCACTACTTCCCTTAGACTTCTGAGCACCAGTGATCACTAGTTAAGAACATGGGCTTTGGAACAAGTCTGCTGGGACCAAAATCCCAACCATACAGTTCGCTGTGTGATTTGGGGCTTCTTCGTTCTTCAGTGTTTCCACATATGAGAAAGGCATGATGACAGCAGTGAGACCATATAAGGTTTGGGAAGGTCAAATAAAGTTTGTATTTGTGATGGATTTTGCAAGATAGTCACACTGGGGACATTAGGTTCACCTCTTTGCTCAACACAGTGTATGGATTTATGAACTGATAAGCCCACCACTCTGCTAACAGTTTCAATTTCTGTAATTATTATTAAAAACCCTTTCACTCCCAATTTGCTCAGGTTTGGAGAATAAATTGCCCTGGTTTGTGGCCTAGTATGGTGATTTGAATGAGACTGGCTTCCATAGGCTCATATATTTGAATGTTTGGCTCTCAATTGCTGGAATATTTGGGAAGGATTAGGAGGTGTGGCCTTGTTGGAGGAAGTGTGTCACTGAGGGTGGGCTTTGAGAGTTCCAAACTCTCAAACATTGTCCAGTGTCTCTCTGTCTTGTGATTGTGTCTCAACATGTACAATCTCAGCTACTGCTCCAGTGCCATGGTCATGAGCTAACCCTCTGAAACTGTAAGCAAGACCTCCCAATAAAATCTTTCTTTTGGAAGTTGCCTTGGTCATGGTGTCTCTTCACAGCCATAGAAAAGTAAAACATTTAGCTATAAAAATCACCTTACCTTCATGCTTATTAGCACATTTGAGTTTCCTACAAGTTGAGGCACTGTGCTTGGAATCATGGCAATATGACTCCCAAAATCCTAGCTTTTATCTCCCTGGAGTGATGCTACCTAACTGGGTGTCAGTTCGTGTTCAATTGCTGTAGTGAAATACTGAGACTGGATGTTTAGCTCAGTTTTCCATACTGAAAGACCAAGGCCACGCAGTCCCATCTGTCCAGCCTCTGGTAAGGGCTTCGTGGTGGATGACACCAAGATGGCAGTATTGATTTCAGAAGATGTCACATGGCAAGGCCAGATGCCAGAGCCATTATGTAGTTGGGCTTGAACTTTTACAACTTACTCCCGCAGGAACAAACTGGAGGTCCCACAATTCCCCAAGGCAGTATCCCCAATGGCCTAGTCACTTTCTATTCTTAAAGGTTTCAAAAGCTCAGTATTGCCACATTAGGACCAAGGTCCCAACACATGAAACTTTGCAAACTATATCAAGACCATAGCACTGGGGCTGGAGAGATGACTCATCAGTTAAGAGCACTGACTGCTCTTCCTGAGGATCAGGGTTCAATTCCCAGCACCCACATGGCAGCTAACAGGTGTCTGTAACTCCAAGATCTGATACCTTCACACAGACATGCAGGAAAAACACCAATGCATATAAAATAAATAAATTATTAAAAAACAAAACCCATAACACCAGGATGTTTTCTGTTGTTACAACTGTGTGTATGTGGGAGGGGGGGTGAATTGAATTATTGGCTTCTAGGGAGATGGAAGCCAGTGATGCTACTGACTATCCTACAAGGCACAGGAAGGCCCCCACAACAAATAACTATCTACTCCCATGTGTGCTGGCACCTACCTGTAATCCCAGTTCCTGGGAGGCTGGAACAGTGTGTCTATTGAGTTCAAGGCCAGCCTGGGCTTCACAGTAAGCTACTACCTGCCTCTCTCCATGGAGAAGTGGTAATGCTGAGGTTGAAAAATCCTAGTCTCTTGAAACTTGACAAGATTACTTCCTGCTCTCTGCTCTGTGGTAGAATCACATTTAGTTGTGAAAGCCTAATGTGTTATCATTTTTGTCATAGAGGTTTCACTACCAGCTCTGGAAACCCTTAACCTACCAGCTGAGGCTTACTTTGTGCTATGACACCAGACATACACGCCATGAAGTCCCCTTCACTCACACAGTTATGTGGAGTCATTGGGACATCTACACCTTCAGCAGACACCCAACCAGGAAACCGTGGGCTGAAAGTCAACTGATTGCTCATGGCCATTAATTACTATTAGCATGCTCTTTTGCCTCTTCCACTCTCAGGAGGAACCATGGAAACAAGACAGGGACCCACCAAATGTAAACATGGACAGTAGGTTTCCCAGCTAAAGGGAAGTCCAGCATTGTGGATAATTTTGTTCCTCTTTACCTCACATTTTCAACCAAGCTGAGGGGTGCGGGCAGAGGGGACTTTTTCTTCACATAGTTTTATTTCTCTTCTTGCAAAAAAAAAATGTATTAAGTTTATGTGGAAATCTTCCTGATCTATCTGTTTCTCTTTCTTACCTCCCATGATTTTGTCAAGTGAGCTCTCCCTGTCTCCACCTTCACACCTTTTCCTGTGCTATTATCTGAGTTTGAATTCCACTCAGAGCCTTGTTCATCAGAGGCCTCTTAGGTTCCTTAAAGAAAGCACAGTGAGCATTGGAGAGGGGTACCTGGGGATGTATCCCAGGTGCTAGAGTGTTTGCCTGGGCGGCAGGAGGCCCTGGGTACAATCCCTAGCATGACTAAAACCAGATGTGGTGCACACACCTGTGTCTCAGCCTTTTGAGAGGGGAGGGCATGAGAACCAGAAGATCAGGGTTATCCATATACTACACAGTGAGTTCAAGGCCAGCCTGGACTGTAGATGAGACCCTGTCTCAAAACACAAAATCAAAGTAAACTTCCCACATGGAGGAGGCAGGAGGGGCCTTCCTCAGAGCACAAGATACACACACACACCCCAATCAGGGGCATGGGAGTCTATCTTGGAAAG